GCTTTTAATTCTAGGCTTAGGAATTTAAACTACTTTTTAGTCAATGGGGTGATATTAAAGGATGTTGAATAGAGCTTGACTGAATTCACCTAAAACACTTTGAAAATAAATTGACTGTTTATAACATCTCATCCCTTCTTATGCTAAGCATAATGGTCCTCCCCTCAAGGAACTTACCCTTGTAAGCATAATGGTCAGATAATACTATAAAGTAGGTAAGACACTGGAGGGATTAATAATAATAACAGTACAATAGCGCTTTACAATTTATTTATCATCATAGTATAAGTAACTACATTTACATAGCGCTTTTAAAGTTTACAAAGCAATTTACATTATCTCATTTGAGCCTTATAACAGTCTTGTGAGATAGGTGTTACAGGTATATTATTCTTATTTTATTGATGAGAAAACTGAAGCTCAGTGGTGGGGAACCCGCACCCTCAAGGTCACATATAGCCCTCTATGTCCTCAAGTGCAGCCTTTTGACTGAATCCAAACTTCACAGAACAAATGCTTTTATTAAGGGAATATGTTCTATGAAGTTTGGATTCAGTCAAAGGGTTTCACTTGAGGACCTAGAGGGCCACATGTAGCCTCCAGGCTGCAGGTTCCCCACCCCTGGGTTAAATGATTTGCCCTGGGTCACAGAGTTACTAAGTTTCAGAGGTGAGATTTGAATCTATATTTTACAACTGCAGGTCCAGCACCCCATTCACTTTGCCTTTCTATTGGCAGAGTATTTTTTAAATTTATTTTTGTCACAACAACCCTATCAAGCAACAAAAGGTAAAAGTTATTCTGCCTATTTTACATCAATGGAAACTGAGGCCCAGTTAAGTTAAATGATTTGCCCAAGTTCACAAGCTAACTCAGTGTTCTTTCTTTTATGCCAAATGAGTGTCCTGAGGTTGAAATGGCCAGAGTTTAATTTTCACCCCATAATCCCTTCATTGGGCCGGGGTCCCTGCTTAAGCCTACACCTCACTAGCAAAAGCACACAGCCCTCTGTCCTTTCCCCCTGAGCCCTAGATAAAAGATAAAAAACTGACAAGGCCAGAGGAAGGGGACTGTAACTGCTGCCACTTTTGCCTCTTCTTTTCCTATGCCAAGAATGGTGATACTTGCACCATAACCTAGATGAACTAAAGGGTTTTTTTAAACAGTACAATATTGTAATGGCAGTTTAAAAGGCCCTGCTGGTCTCCAGAGTCCTCTCCTTTCCTGTCATTTACAAAAGCTCCAGCAGTTTTCTGCCAACTCTGTGTCAGGCAAGAGTCTTATAAACTTTGAAACAGAGAACTGAATCTGGCCAAGTTTGTGGCTGTCCTGGGGTCTCTGATGCTGATAGAACCTTGGGGCTTGGGATTTGGAAGGTCTTTGGAAATGACAGTGGTAGGCACACTGAATAGAGTGGCAGTAAAACTGAATCCCATTACTCATACTTATCAGCTTTGTCACTGTGGGTCTTAGCCTCCATTTATACACCCCCCACAAATAAGTATTATACTGTCTTCCCTACTTAGCTCACTGGGTTGTGTGTGGTGAATATCAAATAAAAAAGAACAATATGAAGTACTTTGCAAATCTTTGCAAAGGAAGGAAACAAGCATTTGTTAATTTCTTACTATTTGCCAGATACTGTGTCAAGTGCTTTACGAATATTGTCTTATTTGATCCTCTCAACAACCTTGGGAGGTAGGTGCTAAAGCAAACAGAGGTAAGTGACTTACCCAAGGTCACAAAGCTATTTTTTATTAATTTATTTTGATTTATCAACAATCACTTCCATATGCTTTTGAGTTTAAATTTTTTCTCCCCCTTTCTCCCCACCTCCCCAAGATGGCACACAATCTGATATAGGCTATACATATACATTCCTATTAAACATATTTTCACATTAGTGATGTTGTAAGTAAGAATTAGAACCAATAGGAGGAACCACCAGAAAGAGGAAACAAAACTCAACAGAAGAAGAAAAAATAGCAAATACTATGCTTCAATCTGCAGTCAAACTCCATAGTTTTTTCTTTGAATGTGGATAGAATTTTCCATCACGTGACCTTTGGAGATGTCTTAGATCCCTGTATTACTGGGAAGGGTTAAGTTTATCAATATTAGTTATCACACAATGTGGCTGTTATTGTATACAAAGTTCTCCTGGTTCTGCTCACTTCACTGGGCATCAGACCATACAAGTCTTTCCAGATTTTTCTGAAGTCAGCCTGTAACAAAGCTTTTAATTGTCTGAGGCTATCACCAATTTGGTGGCTACTGCTACAATCTTACTAGTTAGCCGTGGTACCTGTAAAGGATCTTTCAAGATGTCCCTTGAGCAATCCCATCTCAGAATAATCATTCACCTAATATCAGGAAAAAATAAACAGAAGAAAAACAGAGATGCTTGCTCAGAGACACATGGAAGCCAGGTAAGAAGAGGGAAGAATGTGACCAACTGTTCTTCCCCTACCTGTAGCTCAAAGGAATACTTTTCACTCAAAAATGCTAAGGAAAGAAATTGAAAGGTGAGCAGGTCACACTTTTTGTATGCACACTCAGTTCCAGTAAACTCTGAGTCAGCAGTTTTTTTTTTTTACAGTTCACAGTCAACAAGACATTTTATCATCCACATAGTACCAACATAGTACCAATAATGTCCACTCATATAATTTCTATGGCACTCTATTGAGCCCGAATGTGGAAGGTGAAGAAAAAAAAGGCAAGCACCCAAGACTTGGAGTTAATTAAGGACGTGTTAAGGATAGAGTGGGGAGGAGGCATATGCTATATTAGGAAAATTAGGATACAGGTGGGACTTGATGAGAGCAACTCAGTGAGTTCTGTGTTTACCCAGACATCTCATGGATCTTTATTTCTGACAAATGAAGAGTAGGAGTCAGCTTATGCTCATTTCTACCTTCTGTGGGAGCTAGTCTGGAGTGTGTGCGTGTGTATGCACATGCACAGGGTATTATGTTACTGATATATGTGAATAACAATTTTTATTTAAGCTTAGTGTATATTATTTCTGTTTCAAATCATCCTTAAGAGCATAAATTAAACATTAAAAACAAACAGAAAAAAAATCCACAAGAAGTTTAGAAGGAGACATGAGTGTCAATTTTGTTACTACCTTGTTAAATTTAGCATATGCTTTCAAAAACAAACTATGCATAATATAAGTTCATAATTACACATACCATCTTCTTTATTGTTCATTTATACAGGATTGTTTATTTATTGATAGTTACATTCATAATAAAAAAGGAAATTTAATTTTAAAAAGTGATATGATGAAAGAAGCTTTGGATTCAGAGGCTGAGGACCTCAGTTCATATCCTAACTTTACTCCAAGTATGAACTTGGAACAAATCACTCTTACTCTTTGAGCCTATTTCTTTACTCATAGTAAAAAGAGGGAATTGAATTTACTAATATCTCAGGTACCTTTAGCTCCCGAATGTATGGATAACCACTTGCCTAGAAGATGTCTAGCCTATCCCTACACCTAGGTTTCCCCTACCCCTTATTTTACTGTTGAGGAAAGCAAGGAGAGGTTAAGCAACTTTCCAAAAGTCACACATATAGCCAGAATTACAGATAGGATTTGAACCCAGCTTCTTTGAACCAGGGCCAATATTCTTTCTACTGGACAGCACAGAAAAGGATCTAGGGCTTAGGTTATAGACTACTCCTAGTACAGTGTTCTGGCCAGAAACTCCTGCATTTTAGCAGTAGTAAGAGTAACATGATGCATTATTTACTGAATTATGTAGATCCTCAAATAAACTACCAGTGTTATAGACTCTTGACTTTTAGAACTCAAAGAGAACTTATTAGGAAATTAGAAAGTGACTTGCTTAAAGTCAGTCAAGAGAATGAAAGAGCAGAGACTAGAACCCTGATTCTCCTTAGCCCCAGCTCAGTATTTTGCTTGTAGAGTAGCTTGAATACCCAACAACTACCCTTAGCTATGAGAACATACTATCATAATATGTGATAGAATTTATCCTCCAATGTTCTGGCTAATAACCATCTCAGCTATCTTTTATGAAGTAGCACAGATCTAGTCACAGAATCTCATAGAGATGATAGAAGTAAAGATTACAGTGGAATTGCTGTATCTGATTAGAATATAAATTCATACTGTTTCATGCAATACCTGTGTGCTAGCAAGTTGGGTGAAAATTGAATTTTTGTAAATAAAATCCAATGTAAATTCAATTAAAAACATGTATTAAGTGTTTCTTAGGTGCAGAGAACTTCATTAAGTACATAGTCTGGATATACAGTGCTAGGGATACATGGAGTAGATAGATAGAAATACAGACAGACAGACATATAGATAGATGGATAGATAGATAGATAGAACGGAACCAATATTTATCCTCCAGGAGCTTACAGTTTAATGATGGGGGGGTGAGGAAAACAGATTTGTCGGTTTACAATTTGTACACAGAAAAATGAATATAAAGCAGTTTGGGAAGGAATTACTTTCAAATATCTAACTTTTTTTAAAAAAAATTAAATTTTCTTTCTCTATTTTTGTAATGTAAAGCATATCCAGGAGACACAAATTCTAGTCTAGATTCTACCATTGACGAACTGTATGATTTGGACAAGCTGATTCACATAGTATGATAGATTTAAAGCTAGATAGGACTTTAGAGGTCACCTGGTTCAATCCCCTCAATTTACAGGTTTAGGTCTCACTTTCCTATTCAATGAATGGACTATATGATCTCAAAGATCACTTCTGGCACAGGCATTCTGTGCTATAAATGCCTTTCCAGGTCTAACAGTCTATGTTCAATGTTAAAACATTTTGTATTCTAAAAACTCTTCCAATTTTATAATATGATGGTTCTATGATTCATATTGAGTATGCTGGGTAAAGAATGGAAGAAGTTAAATCTGGGTCTTCTGGGATTTAGATGAAAAACTTGCCAAATTTATGATGTCCAAGAAGCTGGTTCTAATGTTTTCCAATTTTCTTATAGGGGGAATAGGTTTTGGAAGAACCAAAGGAAACTCAGGCTCTGAGGCAGATGACGAGACACAGCTGACGTTCTACACAGAGCAATATCGGAGCAGGCGTAGAAGCAAAGGTAATCTTCCTCATCTATGAAGGGCATTGGGAAAGACCTTAGGTCAGGGAAGTGTGAAGTGATGAACCAAGCTAGGATCAATTCAAGTACTTCAAACACAAATACTGAGAGCCGTCCAGAGACTGGCACCTATAATTCATCCCAAATCTGAATGAAGCCTTGCAGGTATGAGATGGTGGGCATGTCATTCATTCTTCTTTTTTTGGAGTCTTTTTTTGTGTGAATTTTCCCATCACCAGCTACTCCCTGTTGTCTTCCTCAATCACCAGTCTCCCATAACTCTACCAGTTCTCTAGCATTTAGAATAAAAGCAAGAGGAGAATGGACCTCTGTAACCTGGATTATTTAATTATAATCAAAGAAAAAGTGATAACAGTATTTCTGGTCATAAGTAAAAGGTAAGGAAAGGGTGGAAACAAAACCAAATTACCGGTTTCTGCACGAACAGTTTAGCCACCTGGCTAACCTCATTTATATAACCAAGCTATTTCCATTGTATTTGCATTTTGGTATAGAAAGTCGTGGAATACTTCTTCCTTCTCCCCTCTCTGATATCACTCATTTGCCTATTATTTTGTTCCTATCTTTCCTGATAGCATCACAGACTTTCAGAGTTGGAGGAGACAGCCAATGTCATTGAAGCCAGCTTTTAACCCAACAGGAACCCTTTTTACAACCTTCTAATAAGTACTTAAACAACCTCCACTCAAAGTTTTCTAATTTTAGGAAACCTATTGCCTCCTCAAGGCAACCCTTTCCACTATTAGTCACCTCTTTTATGAAATTTTTCTTTGTATCAAGCTGAAATCTGACTTTGTGCAACTCTCATCCATTCTGACTACTTCTACTCTTTCTTCAAGCCCAAATAAAATAAGTCTACATGACGATACTTTTAAATACTTGAAAAAATTTCATACCTCAGTTTCCTCATCAATAAAATAGGGGGATAGAAATATATGGCTTCTGTGATCCCATCTAGCTCGAGATCTCTGATCTTATGTCCTTACTTAAGCCTTCTCTTCTTCAGGCTAAAAATCTATATTTCCTTCAAGTCATATAGCATTGTTCTCTAATATCCTCCTTGTCTTGGGTAACTTCTTCCAGACATGCTGCAGTTTGCCAATGTCATTCCTAAAAAGTGTTACCGAGAGCTGACCATATTACTTCACATGTATTCTGACCATGGCAGAGCACAGTGGAACTCCCACTCCCTCCTACTGGACAAACATGTCTCTTTTTATGTAGCTTGTCATATCATTTTGTTGGGCTGCCTTGGGATGCTGTTGGTGCATGTTGGCTGTTGTCCCCTAGGTCTCTTTGACATGATTTTCTAGTCAAGTATCCCCTACCCTGTCTTTCAACAATTCATTTTTAAATGCAAGTGCAGGACTTCATAGAGATCTCTTAAAATTTGTCTTATTACAATGTGCTTATTGCCACAGCTTGAGGTCTTTCTAGATCTTGATTGTACCATCCAACTTCTTAGTTATTCTTAGCTTCATAGAATCTGATAAGCATGCTACCTATGCCTTCATCCGGGTCACTGATAAAGCAAGATGACTTCCTCTCCTTGTTCTTCCTTTCTTCCTCACTCATTCTCATCCTTCTTTCTTCTTCATCATTCCTTTCATCACCAAATAACGATTTTAGCTTGCCATTTTGTTCTGACAATCCAATTTGAGCTTTTATTCCGCTGATTCTCAGTTCCCCTTCACAATAATTGTCATCCTTTTGACATTAAGATTGTTTTAAAAAGTACTATCTTTCTTCATTCTTCTTCTTCCTTCTTCCATTTTTAATCTCTTTTCTCCTCTTCCTTACATTTATGTCCACTTTTCTCTTATTCATCTTTGATCTCCTATTCCCTACCTCCCCCCCATATAATCCTCTTCCTCTCATCTTTTTTTCTCTCCTCCTCAAATTTGCCTGATGGTTGTTTCCTGAGATGAAATTCCTGTCATATTAGCCTATCATGAATCACCCCATCCAACTAGGATTAAAGCTTTTCTGCATCTAATTTGTTTGTTAAGCATACTGGACTTAGCAACGTGCAAAGATACAGCACTGGCCCTGGGGACTAGAAGTCAGAGTCTGATGGCCTCTCTGATTAAGATATTAAATAGGATGACCAAAGAGTCAAGTGAATTTCTTTACCATTGTCTGTGGGAGTCACATTTATTGCACAGAGCATCACCAGAAGGTGATGAATCCCTGAAAGGACAAGCTAAATTGAATATAGTAATAAAAGATCATTGACTATCCCAAGGTAAATCACCAAGGTAGAGACCAGTATTGAGAGGGTTATTGGACCATAAACCTGTAAGATTCTTGAGATTATGTTTGGAAAGTGAACATGGTGAGGAAGAGAAGGGGGCTAGGTAAGAAAGGATGAAAAATAAGAGTGGCCAAGTGAATTATGGGCCAGAATTCAGGACAACATAGATCTAGTTCCATCTCTGCCACTGACTTAATGTCTGATCACATGCAAGTTACTTGTCTCCTTTGGTTCTCAGTTTATTCACCCATGGAATTGGGACAATAATGCAAAGTCACAAAACTCCAAGGTTGGAAGAAATCTTAGAAGCCATCTATTTCAACTTGAACTTCAACAGAAATTTCCTCCACACCATCTTGGCAATAGGTTATCCAGGGTCTGCTTGAAAACTTGCAGCAGAAGTGGGGGGATCTATCCTATCCTAAGACAGCCCATTCTATACTATTTTTGGGAGAGTTCACATTGCTAAGAAGGTTTTCTTTACAACTCTCCTTGCATCCGTCAGAGGGCATTTGCAACATTCTAACAAGATGACAGATGTGAAAATGCTTTGAAAATTTCAAAGTGCTATAAAATTGTAAGGTAATATTGGGCAAATTGTCCACCTGGAGGTGTATGTGAAAGCCAGAATGGATGAGACAAGAAAGCCAGGGAGGAAATGAGGAGTTAGAGAGTAATGGAGAGGGAAAGCAGGGGAGATGAGCAGAGGGACAATCATTGATCTTTCTTGCTATGTTACATATATCTCTGCTTTTAACTGTGATGTGACAGATGACTTCTTGTCACTCATTTCATAGGAAAGGTGATACTGTCTTCTTCTCTCCTCTTCTGTCTCTTAGATAATAAATGTTGTTTTGTTTATATCTTCCCCTGTACTATTGCATTTCCATAGTAAAGTGTACATGGCAATGTATCATTCACCAAATTAATGTAGAATGCATGGAAATATACAGTATTTTCTTGATCAAACTTGAACTTGGTGAATGTCTCCCAGAGACTGAATCATAGAATGTATGAGCTAAAATGGGATTTGGCAGATAGAATGTAAGAGCTTAATGGGGCCTTCCTAGCCTGTGGGCCCTCGTGCCCTTCCCTTCATCCTTTACCTCCACTTTCCTCTGCTGCTCTCCCATGGAGACTGTGGGAATATAGCCTCGGAATGGAATGAGCCTTCTTCCCCTTAAATATATTGTCCCATGCTCATTAGTCCCAGTTTTCCCCCTTTATCACCATTATCTCTCCCTTACGCTTTCTCCTACAACCATATCTCCATATAGCATTACTTTCCTTGAAAATGCAATGAGTCAGCAAAGCTCTCTGTGTCAGGGTGAGACAGCCTGGCTGTGTCTGTGGCCAAGAAGAAGATGACCGAATGCACAAGGATAGGGAAATAGAGGGGAGAAAAAGATAGAGTAGAAGCTAAGTTGGTTCCTGTTACTTACTGCCTGTGTTATCTTGATAGCATCTTTAGCTTCTCTTTGTCATCTATCCACTGAGGGGACTGGACCAATATTATGGGAAAAGCCCTGGTGAGAAGACCTAGGCTTGAATTCCAGTTCCTTTATTAACCAGCTGTGTAACTTTGGGCAGGTCACTTTCTCTCTCTTTGCCTCTGTTTCCTCATATTTAAAGTCAGTGCCTTGGACCAGCTGATCCTTAAAATCCCATCCAACTCCAATCTCTTGAAAGACAGGTGGTCTGGTAGAAAGGGCACTGGACTTAGAGTCAAAAGACCTGGTTTCAAATCCTGATGATTCTGACAGTATCTGTGTGACCATGGAAAAGTCACTTAACCTCTAAACCTTAGCCTCTTCATCTGAAAATTAGTGTGTTGGCCTCTGAGATCTCTTGCAGCTCTAAATCCATGGTCCTGTGATCTCCCTAGGACCTCATTTCCTCATTTATAAATGAAGATTATAATACGTATGTGTCCCCAATCTAACAGGACAGTTTTGGAGAAAGTATTTTGCAAATCTTAAAACACTATAAAATTATAACCTATTATTATCCTATAACTAGATGGTCTATAACAAGAATAGGCAAAATCTGGTGGGGAGGGGACAAATACTGCCCTTTGCCTGTTTTTGTATGGAACCCTTCTTAAACTTGCAGGCCATCCAAAAACAGGCTAAGGACTTGATTTGGCCCTTTGCTAACTCCCAGTCTGTAAGGTAGCCTCAGGCTCTAATAGGGGTGTTCTGGGTCCCATAAATGCTGGTTATAACAACAACAACCACAACAATTATTGTTGTTATTATATTCTAAGGCATATTTTCAAAATTCTAAGATTCTGCTTCTGGGTAATATTTATCAGATTTAGCTCATTCTTCCAGCTGCAACATCACTGGTAACTTCTTGTTACTTGGCTTTGCAGGAAAGGGGTCTTCCCTTTCCTTCCTCTCTCTTCTCTTTTTGTCTCTCCCTGTGGAGAAAAAATGAATTTGTCAGGGAAACCTGCAGTGTTTTTCACTCTACTCTTTAAAAATGCCTGAGGAAAAAAAAAACTACTACTACCACCAACCTCAACTACCAAGCAGCAGGAGAATGTCAAGTGCAGTGATTCCCTGGTAGCCGTCAACCTGTTTGCAAATACTGTATAACCTTGTTTCCTCAAGTTCAGCTGTAGTTTCTGACATTTGTGAGCAATATAATGTGCTTAATGAGGCTTTGAAGCTGCACGGCAGAGATGAGAAGGGGAGGAGGGGAGCAGAAGGAGGAAGACAGC